AGAGAATTTACGATCCCGAGTTGCAAGATTATACAGAAGTACGTATTCTGTTCGGCCATCAGGGAAGGCCACTTTCGGCTGACGATTAGTAAACTCTTTTAATTTTCCCAAAGAATATCTGCTTAATGAATTCCTTTTATAGCGAGTTTAAATTTTCTCAGATTTAGCTTCTTTACGCATTGAAATGCGAATTATCTGGCCTTATCACATTAAATTGGCCATCCTGAATGGCGATTTATGCATTTTTGTGTATTTTGGAGCGTTTGGCCTTGCTGGGTTTGCATTTTCCGTTTTTAAAGAAAACATTCTTATTTTTGAGTAGGTCGTTGTGGGTGAGTATTATAAATGCCTCACAATTTTGGATTCAATTAGAAGAATAAAAAGTGCTCTCACGGAAACTTTTGTATGCTTTTGCTATGTGCACTTATAAATATAAAACAAATTTGTGCGAAAAAACGTAAGACAATGTTGAAGTTAGTATTGGAACAAAATTCTCATGAAAGACCACTCGGTGGTTTTCAACAATCCAAAGAGTAGCGCATGGATGGTGAGAGCCCTTCTTAGATGCAGTTGCAGGAGCACACCCTTTTTCGCCAAATGAGTATCTTTGGCTGTTAAAAAATAAAACCAACAACTGAGACGTTTATTTGACCCTTTATGTTTGCAACTTTATAAATTATCAAGTTGGCATTTGTGTAGCGTTTATCCTGTGAAAAAGTCCAAAATAATACATTCTGCAAGCTAGATAAAGTAATAGAATGCAAAGTTTAGTCGGGTGCCATCCAAAAGAATGAAGGTAGATACTTGGTTAAATGTGTGTTTTCGAAACCCAGACCAAAAACATGGGGTTATCAGTATCAGTATCAGTTTATATGTATGCAGGTAGATTATAAGTAACTTATTTTTAATCTATATTTTTATTACTTGAGGCACAACCATCACCATGCCATGCTGTTCCTGACGTTAATTGATCTGAACGATTTAGGATGCTCTGTTGCTATGGAAAATATCACAAGTTAACCATTCCCGAAATTTGTTGTGAGAGTTCGAAAGAACGAATTTTATCAGATGGTAGCTGACCTGCCACTAATCAGACACTGTGTATGCAGATTATATCCTACCATTAATCGATTAATGTCAATTTAGCAACGTAGCTGAATTAAACCATTTGGAAATTCATTATGAGCAACCTTGGAAGGGGATCATAATAAAACTTACTTTTCAGTAATTTGGGGTATTTTCTAATTAAATTCTCCACCCAGACATGAAACCCCATAACACCTTAAAGGGGTAAATTATTTAAACTTACTGTTTCTAAAAGTAAGTGAGCCTTCATTGGAAACTGGTCCTTTTAAACGGTTCAAAAATTAAAGCACACTATCATGCATACCGGAATTCCACTAAGCAAAAATACCACCGACTTTTATCGCCTCCCACTCCCCTCCATTCTCATGACTAATTTGGATGAAGTGACGAAAATAGTTGGCCGTATATTTACCTTTGAAGCTGTTCTCACTAGCCCGATGAGAATTTTTCGACAGCTTACGCATGCTCGCCAATGGCTCTTCCGAATTCTCTGATAGGCATTTTTGCCGAACATGAAGCTTTCGTTTGAAACCGTCATCTGTAGCCAAAATTAGCTCCTTAAACGTGCTCCCGATGCCTACCCACTCAGTTTCGAGACGCCAACCTTACTGCCTAAC